TTAACAATAATGTATATACTTAATTTATAGATGTATAGTAATTAAAATAGCATAATCGATTGTATTTCAACATTATGAATGAAATATACCAGCTAGCTCCCATGGTAAATTTCTATATGATGTATTTAATTGATTTAGGCACATTTCAGGTGTCAAGTAACGCAAACTTTCCACTGTAGGGAGATTGTATGGCAATCTTTTTACAAGTTCGTTACAAAGACGAATCGTAGGCCACACATCTTTCTTGGACAACTTTTAAAGACGTTTGTGAAATAGTCTTCTTTGCAGCATATGATTCAAATCAATGTCCAAAATCTACCGATTCTAGGGGAAGAAGGACATTTTCAAAATCTTGATGCACCTTTTCCAAAGCTCTCGCTACATCATCTATGTTTGCTTGATGCAGTATAGAAGACGTTCTCTGATGTTTCAAATAAGGTTTTATAATTCTTCTTACCAACAACATAAGTAGCATGTGTAAGTCAGCATATAATTTTGTAATATCAGCATTTGTTTTTTGAAATGCAAGATTTAAATTAGTAACGTCTTTTAAAATTCCATCTAAAAAAAGTAAACATAGTAAATTACTGTCGTCTTCGTACATATTTGCAAGCGTTCTTGCTGTATAGCATTTATCGTCTTGGGTTTTTGACGCCAATTGAAAGTGTTGTTTCAGCTCCAGCCATTGTTTAATATTTGTAGAAACAGCTTCACTCCAAGCAAGCCAACGCGTCGAAGATAATTGAATCAGTTTAGGTGGTTGTTTTCCGGCATTAATTAATTGATACATTTTGCTGTACCTCATTTGACGAAGAGGACTGTGAGAGAACCATGTTCTCGTTTCTCGTAGTAAAAATTCGACTCTACATGGTAATTCGTCGCTTGCGTTGGAGGCACACAAATTTAAGGAATGGCAAACGCATTTTATCAATTGTAAATGTGGAATCTTTTCTTTTAATAACGTATACAAGCTGTGACTCTTGCCACAAAGATTGTTCGCACCATCCGTTCCTATGCCAATCATATTTTTGTAGTTCAGTCCTGTTTCAGACATGAATTCCATAAAATGTTCATAAAGTTTTTCGGCAGTGGCTTCAAATATTTCGCTGAAACCGAGAAAATCCACTACAAATGTATTTAGTCTCTTACTAAAATATCGTATGCAATATGCCATGTATTTAATGTCAGACACATCAGTAGACTCTTCTAATATTATTGAAAAGGGCTCATTTCCAATATCTTCAATCATTTCTTTAAACATGGCCGGCGATATGACTTTCAATATTATCTTAGAAGTTTTTGTTCTATGCAGCCGCAGTTTTTCTAAATCGCTGCCCTTTCCACACTCTTTTAACAATTCACTTAAATGATCTATGTTTTTTATTGAGTTGTGAGCTGCCATGTGCATGCACAACTTAATTTCAGTCATTTTGGTATTAGAAGTTTGAACACCTATAAAGTTATTTTACAATATATGTTTCTATAGAATATTTATTACTGAATAAGTTAATACATAATATTTATTATAGAATAAATTTTAAAATTATAAAAATATTGTTTAAACTAATAATAATGTATATTATTTGCACTTAATATTTATAATAGTTTAATTTTATATAAAAACTAATAAAATAAAATAATATATTATTACCACAGACTGTTAGCGACTTTTGTATTTTAGTGTCCAATGCTGTCGCTTTACTTTGATGAGCTTTTGTTAATAAATGTTTTTGTAAATCAGTTTTATGGGCACGTACAGTTGACTGGCAAATTTTACAATAGGCTTCGCCTTTTCCAGCTAATATTAATGCCTCTGGTGCACGACACAACCATCCTTTAAAAGTTGCTGTTGTTAATTTTATTGCATCAAAAAATAAGTAGACGAATTTTTGTAACGGTATCCTAGCTAGCTTTCACATTAACAATAAATAAGGCGTCATATAACCTCAAGGAGAGATTGAAAGTGCAAATCCATCACAGCCCGGTAGAGCAACACATCAAAACATCCTCAACAATAAATAATAATAAACTATATACATCATTTACAGATTTACTAGGCGTAAAGTATATAATTTACCTTTAAAGTCTTTTTCTTTCTCCCATTCTTTACGGTAATGCTTAGTATACTTCGCATATTTCCCCATTTGAAGTTCAGGAAAGCACAATTTTTATCCGAAAAGACAGCAACAATAAAGCAAATTGCAAAAATACGATAACACGAATATATAGATATCCTATTTACTTTCATACATGTATAGCGGTTAGCGCCTTCAAGTCACAACCATACGTTAAAACGAGATGAAACGATGTAGTCACTTGTATTGGCATCCCCATATTGAAAAAGAGACTCTAGCACTTCTAACTGTGTTGCGAAACGTCACCCGTGTATTATTTTATCCTTGTTCAA